AGAAAGAAAGAAAGAAAGAGAGAAAGAAAGAAAGAAAGAAAGAAAGAAAGAAAGAAAGAAAGAAAGAAAGAAAGAAAGAAAGAAAGAAAGAAAGAAAGAAAGAAAGAAAGAAAGAAAGAAAGAAAGAAAGAAAGAAAGAAAGAAAGAAAGAAAGAAAGAAAGAAAGAAAGAAAGAAACTATTGAGAAATATACAAATATATATACCTAGGACTGTGACAAAACAACTAGCTGATGTAGATCCATACTTATTTTTCGACAGACAAACAAAGTGGCCTTCCCATTGCTTCCCAACATCAGTGATGAACAGTTCTTGCCCTTGGTTGCTGAAACAGAGAAATGTGTGGTAAAATGTTAACATTAACTGAAACATGTTTTACATAACTGCACTACCAATTACACGTCTGCCCCGTAGGCTGCTCCGGCGTGATGCTGACCACATCACCCATCTTGTGCCGTTGGTCTATAAAAATATAGGTCTAGCCCTATATGCCCTATACGCCTAAAGGCGTGGAAATGGTCCTTTACTTTTTTTTTTTTTTACCCGTAGGCTGCTAAGGACACAGTTCTGCATCTTCTGTTTTCTGTGCCCTCATTGCTATGGACGTAAAAACATGATTTTGATTTTCCTTACAATTAAAACCCTTATCACATGCGTTAGGTGTGTTTAGATGCGTTTGGCGTAATCCTGTTGCTTTGTTTACCATAGAAGCGTGGTCGTCGAATTGTGTATTATTTTCCATGAAATGTATTTCTGGTTTTGCATTAGTCTACCTTTTTTTAAATACAAAATAGCAAGAACACTAGTTAATTAAAGTTGACGAAGATACAACGGATCAACATCATGGCACAAGGATAGTAACCCATAAGTGCTTTATTGTAGTTCTAACTGAAGCCTGAGTCTCAGCGCAGTGCACAAACTCTGTAGCACCGGCGAGGATCCTGGAATACTTCAGGTAGATTATGAACTTTTGCCCAGTCAGCGCCATTAGGCCACTCTTTTCTATTTCCAACTGCTAAATGATTTGTTAACATGCACAACAATACACACGGGCATCCGATCTTACTACACAAAAAAATGGGAAAGTTACTAGAAGTCCATGTGAAAGAATCCCAGCCTTCAACGGGGCTTAAACCCGGGACCTCCAGCACTCAAGGCGGAGGCCAGGCTCAGGCCCCAGTCAGTTGATGAAGAACTAATGGAGTTTCTTTCAAGAAGTAATGGTGAGGGTCACTCTGAAATGTGAGCGTTATGAGCTGGGTTATCTTCACAGCACGCCAGCAACAATGTGTACTTCTGGCCGGGACATGTGTACTTCTGGCCGGGACATGTGTACTTCTGGCCGGAACATGTGTACTTCTGGCTGGGACATGTGTACTTCTGGCTGGGACATGTGTACTTCTGGCCAGGACATGTGTACTTCTGACCGGGACAGAACGAAATACTTACACTACAGCCACTTTACTACTCAGTGGTAAATCTCTGTCTTCAAACTGCCAGGTTGTAACTGGAGCAGGATCCGAGTCAACCAAACACAACAGGTGTAATAATTTTCCTTTGACTATTTTCATGCTTACTGGAGGCTGGACCATTAAAGGAGGCCCTGGAACACACAATTGCCAATTTGTACATGACAGAATTACTACATTAAACAGCAGTAACAATGCACAGAAAATCTGCCCAAATTGTGTACTTTAGCAAAAGAGAAACCAGGTGTCAAGATTAAAATATTTAATTAAAATAAATTATCAAGAGATTTATACAAATTATCTTTGACTTTTAGAATTAAATGAGGTGCTTCACACAGTTACCATTAGCATCCAGACACTTATTACTGCGGACTACTGGGTTGAGCAGGACTTCTGTGATGAGAAAAGGGATGACAGGCATGCTCCATGCAGAGTGGCAAGCATCCCTTCAGAGGTACCAGGCAGTTAGTGTCCTTTGGATATTTTCTTCACTGGCTGGTAAAGATGCGGACTGAGTGCCAAGTCCTGCGATGTCAGTTTTTAACTAACCTTAACAACCAACAGGTTCGAGTGATCATGTGTCTCCACAGTTGGTGACCTGCAACAGAGTATATGTTTCTGTGCTGAAACCTTTCTGTGACATGATTAAATGTTCTCAGTAATCATCTCTTGCTGTTTTGCTTTTAAAGCTATGTAGTTGTCACAGCATGTTCCATTTTTGTTTCCTATTTTCACATGGCCAAAAGATGGTTGCCTCTATCTGATAAGTGTGATAAGTTGTCTTTTCGTCAGAAGGATTTTGGAAATAGCCATGAAGAGTATTAGGAGCCTCTGGTGCAGCACTTGCATGCAAATGAAAGTAAAATTTTACAAACACACATTTTTCCTGTAGCAACATATATACTTGAGCAATGGGCAATTGCCCAAAAACTGACAACAGTAATGGGCAATTTCCCAAAAACTGACAATAGTAATGGGCAATTTCCCAAAAACTGACAAAAGTAATGGGCAATTTCACAAAAAATGACAATAGTAATGGGCAATTTCACAAAAAATGACAATAGTAATGGGCAATTTCACAAAAACTGACAATAGTAATAGGCAATTTCACAAAAACGGACAATAGTAATGGGCAATTTCACAAAAAATGACAATAGTAATAGGCAATTTCACAAAAAATGACAATAGTAATGGGCAATTTCACAAAAACTGACAATAGTAATGGGCAATTTCACAAAAAATGACAATAGTAATGGGCAATTTCACAAAAAATGACAATAGTAATGGGCAATTTCACAAAAACTGACAATAGTAATGGGCAATTTCACAAAAAATGACAATAGTAATGGGCAATTTCACAAAAACTGACAATAGTAATGGGCAATTTCACAAAAAATGACAATAGTAATGGGCAATTTCACAAAAAATGACAATAGTAATGGGCAATTTCACAAAAACTGACAATAGTAATGGGCTATTTCACAAAAACTGACAATAGTAATGGGCAATTTCACAAAAACTGACAATAGTAATGGGCAATTTCACAAAAACTGACAATAGTAATGGGAAATTTCACAAAAATTGACAAGAAACATCAGCAGATTTTGAATTTAAACACTAGACAGAAGAGGAAAACTACTAGCAGGTAAATGCATGACATAAAACTGGCTAATAAATGCGATGTGCTGTCTGCATCTGTGGCTTAGGCATTGTGATCGTGCCCCAGAATTCCACGTTGCATGGTCTGACAACAGGTTGCGGGTAATTTAGCAGCAGATCCCCTTGCGTCAGTTTCAACAGGGAAATCAAGAGATGACCATTTAGGAGCAACGGAAATCTTCTGAATGTAAAACTGCCTCTGATCCTTCAAAATAAACATCACCGTAACTCAGAAAAAATAGTAATGGAAGACATGGTTCCTGGAATAAAAGGTGGATACTGGACATTAAAGATACCAGGGCATGAAACCCACGAGGCCAGAGGGATGGCAAAATGTCAAGTCCTTCGAGGGGTGGGGGCTATAATGACAGTGACATTATGCAAAGGAACTAATACATGATAAAGAAAGAATAAACTCAACAAGTCTGGACTATGAACTCTTTCAGTCCCAAGTAACTGTTACTTTAGCATCTCTGAAGTGATGTAGACTCACTGCCCTCAAAATCCTCAGAACGTCCTTGGTGTGAACTCACAGCCCTCAAAGTCCTCAGAAAGTCCTTGATGTGAACTCACAGCCCTCAAAGTCCTCAGAAAGTCCTTGATGTGAACTCACAGCCCTCAAAGTTTCAGAAAGTCCTTGATATGAACTCACAGCCCTCAAAGTCCTCAGAAAGTCCTTCATGTGAACTCACAGCCCTCAAAGTCCTCAGAAAGTCCTTGATGTGAACTCACAGCCCTCAAAGTCCTCAGAAAGTCCTTCATGTGAACTCACAGCCCTCAAAGTCCTCAGAAAGTCCTTCATGTGAACTCACAGCCCTCAAAGTCCTCAGAAAGTCCTTGATGTGAACTCACTTCCTTCAAAACCCTTAAAAGGTCCTTGATGTGGACTCACTGCCCTTAAAGTCCTCAGAAGGTCCTATCTCTCTAAAGACATGAATAATGTCAGCATGGTTCACAGTACGGCCATCTGCAATTAAGGCAGAGCTGGGGCCAGTTTATTGCTCTTCATTGCCAACAACACCTGCCTTCTGTTAGAGACAGATGAAGCCGAGATGCATGGTACGGAACTGAGGTGTTACATAAAGAATGAATGATTGTTGCTACCTTTGAGAGATTCAAGGCCCCATCTAGGGGCTACACACTTAATATTAATAATGAAATAATGCAAAACACATTTTTATGATTCAGTAACATCAGAGTTATAATTAGAGACCAAATCAGTGATTGTGGTGTGGTAAAACATCATCCCTCTTGACCACCAAAGCAATAGTGAATTTCTGAGCAGGCCACCCAGAAGAAAGTCAACATCAGAGAGGTCAAAATAATGATAAAGAGCAGAAATGTGAAGATGGTCACTTTAATGAGTTTGCTTGTATAACTTCACAGTCATGGACATCTGACAGTGGCCACAGTGGACACCCTGATAGACCTTGCCATGATCTATAACTGTAGATGTCAACACAAAGTCCAGAAGAAACAAAGAAGACATAATTAGGGGCTAGCAAATAAGCCAGACAAGCAACTGGATGTGTGTACAAAACTCAAGATCTAGAACAAGACTAGATTCCAGATGTGAGCAAACAAGCAGAAGTTTCAGTGGTAAGTGCAAAGAAGAAAAATTATTGTTGCAACAAGCAAATTCAATGTTGTATAAATCAGTGCAATACCTTCTACTCTGAGTCGGGCAACTGTTGAAGTCCTGCTGGAAGGAACTGTGAGATTGTTAAAGGCAACGCAGTAGTACAATCCATTGTCAGTTTTCATCACAGAGGTCAGGTGAAGGTCATTGTCAATGACCATGACCCGACCTTGGTGAAGCTCAAGGGGTAAGTAATTCTTATACCATATTATGACAGCAGAAGGAATGCTCTTGGGTGGGCTGCACTTCAAGATGACATCCTGACCATAAATGGCATGAGCATCCGATGGATTGGCAAGGAAAGTGAGTCCTAGATCTGACAATATACAAACAGAAACAATATTTTCATATTTAAATGCTGATGAGTCAGTATCTGTAGTCTGTTAATTTCAGGTTTCATGTTGAGACAGAATGTGAGCATATTACTTTAATTTCAATATTTCATGTCATTTGATAATGTCAACAGAAAGTCCAGAAGAAACAAAGAAGGCTTAATAATTAGGGGCTAGCCAATAAGCCAGACATGTCACTGGATGTGTGTACATTATGCAAAGGAACTAATAAATGATAAGGAAAGATAATAAACTCAACAAGTCTGGACTATGAACTCTTTCAGTCCCACGTAACTATTACTTAAGCATCTCTGAAGTGATGTGGACTCACTGCCCTCAAAGTCCTCAGAAGTTCCTATCTCTCTAAAGACATTAATATTGTCAGCATGGTTCACAGTAGGGCCATCTGCAATTGTGATTAGATTGTGTACATTTAATTAACTTAACAGGAAATAAAAGTATGACCAGTCGCATCATTGCTGAATGTGGTTTGAAAGTTGGTATGGTATATTTTGTAGATGAAAAGATTACTTTTAAATTAGTTACCTAGACTTTGTTACCTATAAAAGAAAGTGACCGGTTTTCAGTATCAACCAGTAAACCTGTACAAATGTGCCCTGTTTGTTCTGACTGTTGCCAAATCTCTTAAATTCCCTGACAAATTTCAGTAACAGTGGAAATAATATTCTTACAATGATCTTGGCGTAAGTTCTACTGCAAGATTATGTTTGGCCTTGCTTATGGTCCAGATGAAACACCAGGCAAATCTAAAAAAAAACTATTTTGTTTTGCCAACTTTATGTTAACAGTATCAAACCTGGACTCTTAATAAAACTCCTATTCTTCTTCTTCAGCTTTCTGAGCACCTGAGGTTCAGTTCTGCAGATATCACCCGCCTCCATTCATCTCTGTGACCAATCCTCTCTTTTTAAGTTAATGAATCCGAGTGTTTGTAAGTCTGCTTGGATATTATCTCTCCACCATCTTCTTGGTCTAACTCATGGTCTATGACCTTTCAGCTCCCTTGTGTATACAGTTTTAACCTCTCTGTCTCAACCATTCTCTCAATATGCCCCAGCCATTTCAGTCTGCTAGCCCTCATGTGGTCAGTGATCAGTGATGATTTAAACAGATTATGAATTTTGTTGTTGCTTCTCACTGTCCATTTCCTGCTGTTTGTATCTTCAATGGGTTCAAAGATTTCTTGTAAGACTTTCTTTTAACACGCATACAAATTTTAATAAGGCCTAATATTTTTATTACTAAAACTAATGAATACAAAATCGTAATAACAGAGATAAGACATCTTAGAAGAGCTGCTGATGAAGTTAGTCATACAGTTTATTAAACAGCCATAGATGAGATGGTTTGTCCTGGTAGCAACTGCAACAGAGAGCCACATTGAAGGAATATAGTGGACAGAGAGCAAGGGAAAGATCTTGCAGAAAATGGAATGATGGCATCAAGACAGCTTTCAGGAATTAAAGACCACTCACACAATGCATTAGAAAGAGCACAAAGAAGATCACCTCATCCCCACCCACCCACCCCTACCCTTTTTTCCACACTTCAGTGAAGTAAGTGGAGAAAGGGCTATAAATTGGCTGCGCACGCCCATCTTACACTTGGCCACACACGCCCATCTTACACTTGGCAACACACGCCCATCTTACACTTGGCAACACACGCCCATCTTACACTTGGCAACACACGCCCATCTTACACTTGGCCACACACGCCCATCTTACACTTGGCCACACACACCCATCTTACACTTGGCAACACACGCCCATCTTACACTTGGCCACACACGCCCATCTTACATTCGGCCCTTTTTAACTTTTATCACTTTTTCATAGTTGTTATTATCAGGGATTTAGTTTTATTTATGTTAATTTGTATGCAATTATCATTGCTTCACTTTATAATATTATCAATTTCTTTCTGTAAGGAACATTCTAACTCGTTACAATTATCATGACTAGTATATATTGTACAGTCATCAGCAAACAGATCACATGTTATACTGAGATGTAATGGAAGGTCATTATTATAAGTGGTAAAAAGTACTGGACATATTGAGCCCTGAGGGACGCCTATATTTAACTGAGTGGGTTTTGAATAATGGTTACTGAAGGACACTACTTGCTGTCTATCAGACAAAAACGCTTTATTAATGTCACTAAATTATCGTTAGTTTTTAGGGTTTTTAATTTACTAATTAAAATATTGTGATCAACAATGGCAAAGGGTTTCCTAAAATCAACAAATACCGCACTGAAAATGTTGCATTGTTGATGTTAAAGTGCCAGTTATCTGTCATTTCTGTCAACTCAGTGTGATAAGAATGTTAAGTCTGAACCCTGACTAGCTATCGACTATTAGACTGTTGTTTTTTAAATGCTGAAACATTATTTTATGTATGTGTTTCTCTAATGGGTTATAGATAATGAGGAAAGTAGAGAAATGGGTCTATTATTGCCAAGAGAACTGTTGTCAGCTAAGCCAGGTTTGAGCAGTGGATAAACTTTGGCAATTTAAAATGCTGATGCAAAGTAGTTCTTAGCAAGGCCCTGACTATATCTGAGCATTAAGGAATCACTACTGACAGGGAGAAGCACATCAAAGAATTTAATTACTGGTTCCATCTAAGCCAGAGGAGTTTGTTTGCTTGAGGTTGGAGAGATATTTATACACTTCAGCAACAGACAAAAGGCGAGTCTCAGGTGGAATAGTCATAGTGCATTTTTCCCTCACAAAATGATGCTAGCAGGCTAAAATCATACTGTGCTTATTGTGGACTCTAAATTCTTGATTTCTGATTTGAAAAAGGAACTGAACTCTTCACATGTTAGAGACTTAGGTATTGCTTGATCTGAAGAATGTTTTTTATTGGTTAGAGTGTTAATAGCTTTCCATCTGTAGGCACTGTTTGTTTTATCTTTAATCAATTTATTAAAGTGATCTTTCTTCAGTTTAGGAACTACATATTGTATTTTATTTCCTAATTTACGATAGGCAGTAAAGTTTTTATTTGTGTGTGCCATATCTCGTTCTCTGTAATTTCTAGAACTGCACTAGTTATCCATGGTGACAGTGTTTGATTTTTTTTACTCCTAACATCTTTAACTATTACATGTTTATTAAAAACACTGTAGACACAAGTAAATGAAGCAATCAATCAAGTAATACTTACAGGCCACAATCAGTTCCACATTGGGTGACTGTGTAATACCCTTTGAATTTTGTGCGGCACATGAATAGTTTCCGCTGTCACTTACTCCCACTGGTAGAAATCCCAGGCTGGCATTTGGCAAAACATACAATCGTTTGGACTCATCAACTTTAAACCGGCCTGCATACCAGTCCACTACTACCGGCTCAGTGGACTCCACAACTTGACATGGCAAAATGAGATCCCTACCCTCTGCAACAATTAGGCTACGTGGAAGATTCCACAATATGACAGGGCGGTCGGCACTGGCGATAACTGAAGTAAAGTGAGAAAAAGAAAAATTATGATGTATAATACCACAGAGAATGAAATATTATTGGGTTTTTCTGATCTGGCTGGTGAATGAGTTGGTGGGTTATTCAAGCAGTTAGGATCTACATCATAAATTCCTTGTTATGATGTGGAAAGTAATCAGATCATGAATACTGCTGGAGATTACAAGCATGTGGGAAATCCCCAATGCCAGCTGGCAAAGGCCTTGATGATGAAGATCTAATGTTCGGCAAAAAATCTCCCTGTATTGGTTCTGGGGCCCATGAAGGGAGAGGGGGAGGGGGAGGGTGATAGAGAGAACAGAACCACTTCCCCCTTACAATTATGTTGTAAAAGGCGACTAATTAGAGGCTTTTTTTAAAATTAGATTATTGGGTCGAAATGTGCACAGCCTAGTTGTAAAATGCAACATAACATGCCAACCTCCGTATTTAGGACAAACACAGAAGAAGAAGAAGATTCCATTTTGAATGTGTTTATATAGTGCAACATACTGTAGAGGGAGTGTAGCAGGAGTACGAGGGAACAAACAAAAGGATTTCTGGTTTCAAAACTAACAGCTATAGGAACACTGACATCTGACATGCCAGACAGTCTGAAGACCATTGATTAATGGCTGCCGATGGAAGGTATGATGAAACAACATATGTAAGGATAAGTGAATGTGGAATTAGGAGAGGATCCAGCGAAGAAAGGATGTAGGAGATGAGGACTAGATTGTGAGTATAATTAGTGTGCTACTAGAAGGGTCAGCATCTTCTTCTTCTTCTTTGTTCACCTGCTGTAAGCTCCGGTGGAAAGTCCTGGTTTTTCATCCATTTGGACTTTAACTTTGTGCCAGGGCCTGAGTTTTGCATGTACATCCATTTTACTGGCTTATTTGTGTGCAGTAGTGGTTCCTTGCCACTCGGGCAAATGTACTCCAACTTTGAAAGAAGTTCCCAGTTAGTAGACTCCTACGACATTCCTGTTGAGGAGTCAGTGGGTCTATTCTTGTTTGTCCCACAATGGGGCTCCCGAACCCACACGGGAAAGTCAGCATCTATACCTTAAGACATTTTCTGCGGGTATCTGTGAGTCTGAATGTTGATTCTTAAACCAGTAATTAATGTGCTTGGTTAATGGAACAACCAAGTATATAAACACAGTCAATGAACAGAATCAATTTCAACCAAGTATACAAAGGAACAGCATAAAACTACCAATGTTGCATTAACTCAGTCTTCACAAGGTATGATTTAATGAGCACTTTACAAAAGGTAGCCACTGCAGTGTAGCAGCTAGATCTTTCCCCACCTGCCAGCCTGAAGGTCCTAAGTTCAAATTTGCAGTGAGCAGATTTGGAGAATAAAAGAAAATTGACCTTGGCGCCCTGGAAGACCCAGCTTAACATGGGTACCCAGGCAAAGACCTAGGAAGTAAAGGTGGCCAGCATAATGTTGACCACATCATCCATCGAGTGCCAATTAGTTTTTACATGTACGAGTCTAGCATCATATGCCTAATGTGTCACTGTGCACAAGGTTGTACACTTTACTTACGTACTTCACACCCCCACGGCCATTTTGAAACCACTTTTGTCCCAGGCTTTTGTTACTTTAAAGAAATGAATACCTCTGAGTCATAAGGTGTTGAAATGAATATCCAGGACAGAAAAAAGTTTAGTAACGACCATCTAGGACCCTCTAGGAAAGGAGAATTACAATGAAACCCAGGACACAGTGCTTTCTTTCAAGGACACAAAGAGTTAACATGCAACATTATCAGCATTATCCCAAAGATTCTTTGCAGAACACTGCTCCCATCACAGCAAGCCAAGGTAGGTCTCAACAACTATCAAACTGTCTGCTCTCTTGTATTTTATTCCCCAAGCTACTATGAGCATCTTGAGCTCAAATTTGTGTTTACTGACTCCTGTGTTTTCTTTCAGGAAGCCCTGTACCATTTTATAGACAGACCATAGCAAGATGTTATTCTACACCTCAGAACAGGACACAATCGACTTCACAGCTACATGTAAAAAAAGAATTTTATCGGTGAATCAGCAATGTGTAAATGTGGATTGGCACCTGAGACAACAGATCTAGATACAGAGTTTTTCTGGTTTATATTTAATAAGCTGTTGTGGGCCAACATAGGTGGTGGTCAGTGAGAAAAGGCAAGTTATTTGTGTGACAGGTAACTCTGTCAAATACTTCAAAACTCTGTGACATGGCCGGCCATCAGCAGGTACAAGACACCATACATAACCTCCACCCCTTCTGCCTTGAGAGGTGTGTCATTTTAGACAAAGACGTGCATGAGGTTTGACGTTTTGAAAAACGGATCAACATCACGGCACACGGGTGTAACCCATAAGTACTCCGTTCTTCTTCTAACGCAAGTCTGAGTCTAAAGAAGCTCAGCACAGTGCACAGGCTCTGTAGCACCGGCAAGGATCCTGAAATACTTTGGGTAGATTTTTAACTCCAAAATTTTGCCCAGGCAATGCCGTTAGGCCACTCTTTTCGTTTTCCAACTGCCGAGGGATTTTTTTACGTGGGCGTCCGATCTCACTACACAGAGATCAATGGCAATCGCTAGAAGTCCAAGTCCACATGACAAACAGACGTGCACAGAATTAGTGAAAAGCAAGAGGGAACCAATGAAAAGCAAGAGGGAACCAGTGGAAAGCAAGAGGAAATCACTACTGTTTACAAATGGGCAATCCTAATGTTCTAAGAGATGAAGACCCAAAGAAAACTTATCCCGAAGAAAGCATATCACAAACATTACAAAGAGAAGTCATAAATTGTTTAGGGCAAGTCATGAGAAGACAAAACATGTGACAGCCGGAAAGATTCAGTGACAGAGAGAGATAGACAAATACAATGTAAGAAGATTCTTGACAGTTTTTTGTCATGGCATGAAAGGGTGTCGCCACATGAAATTATATGTGCGGTTGAAGATTTCAAGTTGGGCAGATGTATGGTCGCTCATGCCAGCAGGCAAGGCATTTAATGATGATGTAGATTTTGAATGAATTTAGTTTCTGAGGCACGAAGCTGTTTATTTTCTTTGATGTCCAGAGCTTATAGAATATTGGTGTTTTTCTTCTATTTGATTTACGAGATTCTAAGAACTTTTGTGTAACTTTAAATTCAAAAATCTCTATTTTGACATCTGACAGAAATCACATCGTGAAGCAACATTCAACAAAAACAGCAGAATCTGCTCCAAGATACCTCGCTGGGTAACATTAGTTTGCTGGCTGCGAACCTGCTGCTTGAGGACATCATTGATTGCCACACACTGAAATGAACCGAGTGTCTTTGCAGAGATCTTCAATGTCAGCTTCATAGACAGCTGGACACTGAGACCTGACGGGTCATGGTCACCAAAAGCTGCCGTCAAAGACTCCCCTCCTGTAAAAACCTCACTGTCCTTCAGCCAATGAACCTAAAAATGTAATGAATGCTGGGTAAAAAAAGCCTATATGCAAACATATCAAGATACAATGGTGCAGTAGTTAGTGTGCTTGTCTGCTGAGAGAGTTGTCCACAAGAAGAATGGTGCAGTAGTTAGTGTGCTTGTCTGCTGAGAGAGTTGTCCGCAAGAAGAATGATCAGTAGTTAGTGTGCTTGTCTGCTGAGAGAGTTGTCCACAAGAAGAATGGTGCAGTAGTTAGTGTGCTTGTCTGCTGAGAGAGTTGTCCACAAGGAGAATGGTGCAGTAGTTAGTGTGCTTGTCTGCTGAGAGAGTTGTCCACAAGGAGAATGGTGCAGTAGTTACTGTGCTTGTCTGCTGAGAGAGTTGTCCACAAGAAGAATGGTGCAGTAGTTAGTGTGCTTGTCTGCTCAGAGAGTTGTCCACAAGAAGAATGATGCAGTGTCTTTTCATCTATTCCATTCTATCCTGCATAATATTTTCGATATCATAATTAGATTTCAGTCCAGCACTGTCACCCTTTGACACCAGTCTCTGTCTTAGGGTTTCTTCTCCAATGTCCTTGTTTCCCCAATCCATCTGTTTCCCATTTCAGTGCCTTTTGGTTGTTCTTTGTATGCTATGCCTCAATATGTAACTAATATATATATATATACTGCCATCTTTGTCTTATAACTGTTTATACCAGTTGTTAATATATTTGTCTTACTTCTTTACCTTTTTTTTTATTTCATCCCATTGAATGCTCTTTAATTTATTGCAGAATGTCAGATTTACACTATATGCTAGACTGCAAGAAATACAAATGGCAAACTACACTACAAAAAGAAATATTAGGAAATACAATGTACCTAAGGCAATTAATAAAATTACAAAACTATTATTAAATAAAAGATTAACCAGTATATTACAAAAACACACTTAGAAATTCATAAACAGCAGTTACCATACTTTGTAGTCTGCTATCATAAAGCCCACTCAGAGAGGAATTCTTGTGAAGCTATACCATATGACGGGTTATACAACTGGTGGCAATCCCCCCCCCCGCCCCCTCTTTTTAACATTTTGGCCCCTAATAAACTTTAGTTAAATAGCCCTGCCATTAAGGCATAGACAAAAATGAAAAAAAAGGTTGTAGAGTCTGAGGCAGAGCAAGAACAAGGTGCAAAGATAATATCAGTCATTAGTCGAGGTTCCAATTTCACTGCAGATGGGTTTTCCCATAACTGCACCGCTCCTGTACCAGTGAATATTAAACAAAATGTCTGTTGCTGTCCTTTTTGAAAAAGGTAAAAAAAAAATGTAGTCCAAGCAAAATCTTGAAGCTCGCACACGCAAAATAAATGCATAAGGCAGCCGTTAGATGTGCCAACGCATATAATATCAGTGAAACTCTACAACAGTATCAAGTGTCTACAGATTCAAGTGGCCAGAAGAGTGACAACCAAAGTGGTACAAGAAGAAGCAAAGGAAGAGTATATAAAAATATCTGAATGCAAAAACACAATAACAATTTTGAAACACGAAAATGTAAAGCTGGAAATTAATTTGACGAAGATGGCAAGTAGGAAATGAAATCACAACTACTTCAACATTGTGAACAATCAAACATTCACATTTAAAATAACAACAGATGCCATACAACTCAATTATAACCCAGAAAGGTTCAACAGGGTTTTGAGAATTTACCATTTCAATCACTAGCAATATATATGTCGCAGGATCTTACCATGAGTCCCATCAATTATTTAATGTGTTCTCTTACTGTCTTCATTTGGCTAGTGCATACTTAAGAAATCTGGCTTCCTCTCTACCTACTTACACTGCTTTTTGGTCCCTCACAATTTTTGTTTGTACAGTGATTAATTGTCCTGCTGTAATAAAGATCTGACACTGAAAGAGTTCATTTTAACAATGGACAGCAGAACCAACAAGTACCTGGACAGCTGGGGCACTTCTTCCTGTTACGCAGGTCAATGCAATCTGCTCCCCCAGACTCCCCTCCAGGGATACAGGATCAACGATGAATGGTTCAATATCTGAAACAGTGATGAGAATGTTTTTGGAACAAAGCTTCAAGTTTCAAATTAGATATTCCATTTTTACAGAAAAGCAAATGCCTGCACATAGCCTTCACTGTTACAATAGCCTTGGACAGCTCCCTGGTCTTCACTAACACATTAACTGACACTACTGAATTATGTTTCTTTAATACAGACTTCATTAACACATCAATTGACACTACCGCATTATCTTTCGTTAATACAGACTGCATTAACACATCAACTGACACTACTGAATTATCTTTCTTTAATACAGACTTCATTAACACATCAACTGATACTACTGTATTATCTTTCTTTATTACATTCTTCACTAACACAACAACTGATACTACTGCATTATCTTTCTTTAATACAGACTTCATTAACACATCAACTGATACTTCTTACTGCATTATCTTTCTTTAATTCAGACTTCATTAACCCATCAACTGACACTACTGCATTATCTTTCTTTAGTACAGACTTCACTAACACATCAACAGACATTACTGCATTATCTTTCTTTAATACATTCTTCATTAACACATCAACTGACACTACTGCATTATCTTTCTTTAATACAGACTTCACTAACACATCGACTGACATTACTGCATCATCTTTCTTTAATACAGATTTCACTAACAGCATAGAGCTGTTATGTTAGGAAAGGCTGTTATGTTAGGAAAGGCTGTTATGTTAGGAAAGGCTGTTATGTTAGGAAAGGCTATTATGTTAGGAAAAAGGATTATGTTAGGAAGACTTGTTCCTTTTCTAACATACAAGCCTTTCATAACATTACAGCCATTACTAACATAAAAACCTTTAATAACATAACAGCCTTTCCTAACATAACAGCTATTACTAACATAACCTAACATAACAGCCTTACCTAACATAACAGCCATTACTAACATAACAACCTTCCCTAACATAACAACCTTCCCTAACATAACAACCTTCCTTAACATAACAACCTTCCCTAACATAACAACCTTTCCTAACATAACAACCTTCCCTAACATAACAGCCATTACTAACATAACAACCTTCCTTAACATAACAACCTTCCCTAACATAACAGCCATTACTAACATAACAACCTTCCTTAACATAACAACCTTCCCTAACATAACAGCCATTACTAACATAACAACCTTCCTTAACATGACAACCTTCCCTAACATAACAACCTTTCCTAACATAACAACCTTCCCTAACATAACAACCTTCCCTAACATAACAGCCATTACTAACATAACAGCCATTACTAACATAACAACCTTCCCTAACATAACAGCCATTACTAACATAACAGCCATTACTAACATAACAACCTTCCCTAACATAACAGCCATTACTAACATAACAGCCATTACTAACATAACAACCTTCCCTAACATAACAGCCATTACTAACATAACAGCCATTACTAACATAACAACCTTCCCTAACATAACAACCTTCCCTAACATAACAACCTTCCCTAACATAACAGCCATTACTAACATAACAACCTTCCCTAACATAACAGCCATTACTAACATAACAACCTTCCCTAACATAACAGCCATTACTAACATAACAACCTTCCCTAACATAACAACCTTCCCTAACATAACAACCTTCCCTAACATAACAACCTTCCCTAACATAACAGCCATTACTAACATAACAACCTTCCCTAACATAACAACCTTCCCTAACATAACAACCTTCCCTAACATAACAACCTTCCCTAACATAACAACCTTCCCTAACATAACAACCTTCCCTAACATAACAACCTTCCCTAACAGAACAGCCTTTACTATTACAACAGCCTATCCTAATACAATAGCATTTAGTTTTAAAAAAAAATAATTGATTACCAAACACAAAATAATCCAATAGGTAACACAAAATATTTCTTTATTGCCACATTATATTAAACTAGTAGATCACGCCACATTCTATTTCTACAACAAAATATAATCCATTAACACAACATATTCCATTACCATATTACAACATATTCCATTACCATATTACAACATATTCCATTACCATAACAAACAATTTCATTATAAAAATGGACACTGGCCCCTTCATATCAACAAGTGAAACAATCAAACTCAACTCACATGCTTCTATAACAAGGGCTGTTGCCGTTAGATTTCCTATAGTTGAATTAGCCAGATCAGCACCTGCAAGCGGCTGGGATGTGATAGTGCATGAGTAATTGCCCAGCTCTCCCAGAGACAGGGACCAAATGAAGAGGGAATTGTTGAAGAACCTGGAGGCCTTGCTAGTGAGATTTCCTCCATCAAAGCTCCAAGTGTACAAAAGGATGACTGAAGAGTTACTTTTGTCTATCCACTGAGCCTGACACGGTAGGATTAAGTCATCGCCAAGAGCTACTGCCCTGTTCTGTGGCTTTCTAACCCAAACTGCAATAGACACAATTTCAAGTTATAAATAAATGTAAGGGATCCTTTTCAAGTCAATGGCACATCGGGCACAGAGTAGATCTTTTTTTAATGACCAATAATAACATGTGGGTGATGTGGTGACCATCACATTGGCTGCATTTATTTCCCAGGACATATTCTAGCATTCATTTTGACCTGCATTGGCATGGAATCCTTAGGACATCTTGCATTGATGCGAATTCAAACCCAAAACTTGTGGACTAGCAGGTAAATGTCTAACCACTGCACTACTGCAGCTCCCAAGGGTTAGACATAAATATACATAAAGAAAAGTGAACAGCTATAGTGCAAAGCGTGGATTCAATAAACTTCTGTTATTCATCCCCAAACAGTGCACAGGCTCTCAGCAACTGACACAAAACTATATGTGACTTGCATTTAGCAGGCTGGCTTTTACAGTTCAACATATTTTTATGGGGTAGAGTCTCGACTCATGGGGTAGAGTCTCGACTCATGTGGTAGAGTCTCGACTCATGGGGTAGAGTCTCGACTCATGGGGTAGAGTCTCAACTCATGGGGTAGAGTCTCGACTCATGGGGTAGAGTCTCGACTCATGGGGTAGAGTCTCGACTCATGGGGTAGAGTCTCGACTCATGGGGTAGAGTCTCGACTCATGGGGTAGAGTCTCGACTCATGGGGTAGAGTCTCCACTCATGGGGTAGAGTCTCGACTCATGGGGTAGAGTCTCAACTCATGGGGTAGAGTCTCAACTCATGGGGTAGAGTCTCGACTCAATGAAATCTGAAAAGGTTTACCACACAATCAAATAAAACACTATACACAGTCAAACAAAATGACCCTTGTCTTTTCCCTACGTTTCTGAAGGATGATTTTACAGCACTTGCAAATTTCAACACTTCAAAATTTATTTCCTTTATTGTCCTTGATATTTCAGCATTTTTCACCTACAATTATGTATCAGCAATTTTTAGTTATTTTGAAGCCCCACACTGGCTTTTTCTGGGGGCCCTTAATATAGTGGGCGCTGAAACATGGCCTAACAGCTGAACGTGGTTTCAGGGACCTCTCCACGGGTGATCCTCATCCGCATGGTGGCACTTTGTGTCACCTGGTGTTTATTGCTTGTGTGATGTCCTGGTGGGGTACAACTTACCTACCTACTAAAAATTATATTCCCTACTTTTAAGCATACAGGTATACATACATACACATATGTGCATACATGTGAGCGTTCACACACACACACACACACACACACACACGCTCACACACATACTGGAGATCACACATACTGGAGATCACACATACTGGAGATCACACATACTGGAGATCACACATACTGGAGATCACGCATACTGGAGATCACGCATACTGGAGATCACGCATACTGGAGATCACGCATACTGGAGATCACACATACTGGAGATCACACATACTGGAGATCACACATACTGGAGATCACACATACTGGAGATCACACATACAAGCCCGTTAATCCAGTAGAAATTACACATGATGATGATTTTTATTTCTTTACATGTCTTAGAATAATTAGTATTTTACTCCAGAATGTGACAGCCTACACAAGAATTTGTGTTGTTCAGATTTACTGCTAATCCAACTTTGCAATTCTCTAAGACTGAGGCTACTTTAAACATGTTTTCCATTGCACTGGTTCAGACATTCCATTTACTTTTTTACTGTTAAATATTATGCTTGTGACTTTCACCGGAGTATAAAAAGATGCTATTCCTAGCTGAAGTCTCAGAAATTTGTTTTAATTTGCTGTCTGACACATTCTTACTGCAGTAGTAAAATATTCTGTGTGAATCTTTTCCTGACCTTTTACTCTGTGTTCGCATCATTTTCCTGGTATCCCTTTTAAACTCTTTCAGTCAAAGACAGGTGTAACTTCAACTTGTTCTATCCTAACCAGTTAGTTAGTCTTGCCTCTTGAGCTTAGGTTGCCACATAAGGGAAAGGTCATAGCTCTCTATGTCTGGTGGTTCGTTGCCATCTGTTTCATGTCTTGGATGTTCATAAGGCTTGTGGTTGAGCCTTCCCTGATGATGGTTCTACGCAAGGTCTTTCTTGGTCTTCCCTCTTTTATTTTCCTTTTCAGATTCTATATGAGAGCTTGATGGGGGAGTCTGGTCTTATTTATTCTGAGTGCATGGCTGATGTAGTTCCAGCGTTGCTTTCTTATAAAACTGGATACCTTTTCTTGCTTGATATTTATCACCAAGGTGTCCTCGACATAGAGGTGACAGCCATTAAATCCAGCCATTCCAGTGACAGAGTCCGCAAGTCTCATGAAAATCACTTTATTTATACTCTGGGGACTTTAACACCCTCTGGACTGAATTGCCAACACAGTTTCATTTTAACTCCCAGGGGATTGAACTGCCCTCACAGTTTTATCTCCAACCCCCCAGTTATGGCAGTTGGTACTCTACCGGGGGCATTTATTCCCAGCCGACATGTGTAGTCATTCTGCTGAGAAACAACCATCCCGGCTGCCTCGAGATACCAGCTAAGTGATTTTGTATTTCTGTGTAGTATTGTTTCATTTTTATGTGCTGATGAAGGCTCAATAGCCGCAACTTTCACGTTTTGTTTGTATTTGTTATATTGTGAAGCTTGCTTATATACTTTTCATTCGTTTTATATCTTTTCTTGCTTGATATTGGTCTTTTTTCTTATTTGCACATTGGATCTGAAATTTGTCCAGTTGAGATTTAGTATTCTTCTAAGACATTTGTTCTCGAAATTGTCTAATTTTTTTAAATCTAAAGCTACTGTTGCTTTCCAACTCTCGCATCCATTAGTTAGCACTGAAATCACACAAGAGTTGAAGATCATAAGTTGTGTGTGTTTGCTAAGTATCTCTGACTTCCAGATGTTTAAATAATAAATCATTAAATCTATAGGTGTTACAATGTTTTAACAAATGAAAGTGGTGGAAGAAACTATGGCAAATTGGGGGAATGTTAAAAACAATTAAAAATAAATTGTTTGTATATCTGTTACAGTATGTTTCGGTGTTTATGGGTTTACTATGCAATTTTACATTCAGTACTTTGCCACTGCCTACTAAATGGTCAGCTCTCCATAACTCTGTCAAAATCAAATCACAGCAGTCTGCCGCCAAAATGCCTGCAGCTGAATTCAATTGAGTATTACAGAATTAATTACAAACCACAGTCGCACAACACCAACTAGGTTAATGTAATAGAAGAAAGAGTACGTCAAGTATATCTTTAAGTACAAAGCAACAAACATATAGTGAGCTGCTGATACCAAATGAGTTATTGATTGTTTTGATGACATTTTTACCTTGACGAAAATGTATTTTACTGTCAATTACCCATTCTTTCTTTGCTTTCTTTACTGCTTTTCCAATTCCAGTAATTCCCACATGGGCTTTATCCATATCCTCCCTAGCAAACATCTTCCAAAATTTAGATATGTAGGAGTAATGATCATCAGAAATTACAAAAGACAACTACTGTGAACATCACAGTAAATTGAAAGATACTAGTACAACATGTTTTTCTATTGTGAAATGAAGTAGCAAACACCAAGAAGTGAATAAAAAATAAAACGGAAACTAGGATTGATCAAAACTACCTTTAACAGCATGAAGGAGATACAAACATTTTAAAAAGGTAATAACAATCCTAATGTACATTTTCCCATTGAAGGGTTGAAGGTTGGCTGTAATGAGACTCCACACAGAATGGTATAATTTTGCAAGCCTTTTCCAGTTGATCCCTTAATAATGTCCGACAACTAAGAATATCTTCCCTGTGCATACCTATTCTCCAGTTTCCCCTCTAGAAAGTTCTCTAATCAGCTATATCTCTGTAAATAGCTGCAATACTTTCCTTGTCACAACTTTATCTCAGTCAGCACTCCCAAGTGGTCACATAGACGGAAAAGGGGGGGGGGGATTGTGACTGTGGTCAAGCTGATGACAAGAAATGCTAAATACAACACAATTTGTGACTGGAAAACTCAATGGAGGGATAAAAAAAAGTCTGCATATAAACAAATCAGATGTGTAAAACTGTCTTTCTCTCACTTATCTGTATAGTCTAATTTTGACATCCTGTTTACCAACTGTTAATTATTCTGAACTATAAATTAATGTAGAGGAAATATAACACAGGACAAGAAAACTAAGTGGAATCACATGGGGAGCCAGTTGGGAAAAAAACTCTAAAATAAAGTATACAAGCAGAGCATACAACCACACTTGGAATATGGGTCAACTGCGTGGTGTTCAGCATCTAGTACCACATTAAAGGAGTTGGACAAAGTGCAAAATCAAAGGTTTAGTGTCATTGCAGGAGGGATGAGATCAACCCCCATATTAGAAATGGAGAAAGCTGGGAAAACACAGGCACTGAGAGAACGCAGAGATACACAGTTGCAAATACAAGCTGAAATGTTTCTCAGTATGCCAGATCACCCCATGAAAAATAGATTTCACAACGTAGCCTTGGGGAGGGTTAAAAGAAGTAGCTTTATACACCAAGGATAAAGAATATGTAGACAAACTGCTGACCTTTCAGAAATGGTTGTCCACTTAAAAATTATTCTAGAACAAACCTTATAGAGAGAACAATGCAAACTAACAGTACAAATCCAGACAAATGTGAAAGGGATATTTGACAAGAAAGAGCAAGATAGTGTACAAGGCAGAATGGCTACCCTCAGTTATATTGATGAAGAATACCCACAAGAACAATGGGTCAGAGTCTATACAGATGGGTCCGCACAAAGTGCAGTTAGAAATGGTGGTGCTGGAGTGTACATAGAATTCCCAGATGGTACTAGGGACAAGTCCAGTGTGCCAACCGGGAAGTACTGCCATAACTATGATGCAGAAACTCAGGCTATCAAGATAGCAACAGAGAAACTGCTAAATACCAACCTTGGCTCACAGTATGTGGTAATGCTGACAGATGCAAAATCTGTACTTGAAGCACTCC